TTCATCCGATTGCCATCAAATTTTCAGGGATTGAGAAATAACTATTAAACTTCATTTTACCATTTTACTCGTATTTTATTTACAGTCCATACGCAAATGCCCGCACCTTGGCCTTAACCCCGGCCATAAGATTCTGCACAACCTGTGAATCAACCGTTTTTTGCATGTAAACCCATACTTTCTTCAGTTCCTCGACTGTCTTCACTACCTTAGGTCGTTTAAGAAGGTGCTGCTTCATAATCGCCCAGTACTTCTCGATGGGGCGGGGCTCCGGAGTGTTGGAAGGGTTGAACATTTTCGGCACGAAATTGACCTTATTGTCCGCATACCACTTCAGCACGTCCTTGGAGTAGTGGCATGAGGCCAAATCCGGCCAGAAGATTGTTGGGACGTTGTGGGCCTTCAGGAGAGGAAGCAGCCGCTTCTGGAGGCACTCTTTTATGTACACCTGTCCGTTCATCGTGTCCTGGGTCACGAAAGGTGCACTCCGCTTCCCGCACGTGCAGATGGCTTGCCAAACCAGGAATTTCTTCGCAAATTTGGACATCTTCTGAGTGTGGACATGCTCCGGAACGCTGAACTTATCCTTGGCCGTGAAAAACAGGTTGCCGGGGATCTGTTTGAAGTCGGCCTTCACATATGTTTCGTCGTCCATGATGCAGCATTCAACTTTCGTCAGCATGTTGAGGTACAACTTCCTGGCACGGGTTTTGGCGGACTTGTTCTGCTTCTCGTCGCGATTAGGGGCCTTTTGTACCTTGAACGTTCGAAGCCCAGCCTTAGTTTTGGCCTTCTGGACAAAACTTCGGCTTAGGTGCAGCTTCTTAGCCACATCCCTAACGGAGGCGTTCGGATTTCGGTTGAAGGCCCCAACTACGCGGTTGTGATTTTTGGTGTTGTACGGAATACTTTTTCCTTCACTTCTGGGCTTCCGATCGGTGGTCAACCGTTCCTCGAACCGCTTAATCACTCGCGACACCGTGGAATTCGCGATTCCCAACGTTTTAGCGATGGAACGATGCGAGAGATCCTTGTTCTCGTGATGAATGCGCATGAATTTATCACGCACGAGCTGTTCTTTCGACTCCATTTCCGCGAGTTTTGATCACATGACTTTAAAACTTGCAGGATGTAAATAATGCGCTATGTACTAAATCCACCCAAATTTTCATTAAATTCTACCCAACGGTTAAAAAGTTAGAGCAATTTCATAGTGTGGCAATTTCATCGTGGACACCCTTTACCGAGAAAACTTCCAAAACAACGGAGCGCGAAACAAGTCGACCGTACTTCTTGCTAGGACGTAGTGAGATGAACGCTGTAATAGTTCAAGGCGAGAAAGAGAGGTGCCACAGTCGGAAGAAGTGTGAGTTTGTTTACTTAAATGAACCATGCCCATTTTGTTATGGCAAGTTTGCTATAAGAAATGCTCCTCGTGTTTATTAGCGAAATTCACATCAAAGATTGATTAATTGCATAGGAAATCAGTTTGGCACGGCATTTGTGACCAGCATACACCTTCCGGTCGTATGAAACAGGTCAAAAACTGTCCAAATCCGCAGATAAAAATTTTTGTTTTGAATTTCTGTATGGCAAAATAGTGAACTTTTCGTGAACATTAACGGCAAAGAACTCACCAACACTGGGAGACCGTGAGTTCCTGTCCACCTGTCATTTTCCATCTCGGTAATAGTTAACTTCACAGATGAAGTTTAAAAAAAAAAAACACTGCTTGAATGTATAAAATCTAAAAAAGGTGTTCATGCGATTTTAAATTTACGTTTCCGAATATACACCACCGTAGCTTGAGATTGAGCTTGATTGACCGCCCACGGTTGCTACTCTGTTATTGCCAGATCAGCTGTAATTACACAGAGAACCAATAGACGATGCTTGGGACTAGCAATCATCCTCAATGTGTAAAAACTGGTGATCTTAAATTAGGCAATACCAGCGCCGGCCGTGCCCGAACACAGGTCAAGAAAGGAATGGGAAGGATTGTGTTGACATGACACTCGCTTTGATGGAAGCCGAGAACACCTCTACACTTCCACGAGGAATCACTGGGATGTTGGATAAGAGGGCTGGGTTTGCAGCAGGGTTCGTTTTGGTAAACGATAAGCTGAATTAATGTCCTAACGATCATATAACGCGAAGGAGCTTGGGACTAAACCCACGGTCTTCTGCTCAGTAAGCAAAAACGTTTGCCACTAGGCAGACGAGCACCTTTTTAATCACCGAGTTGCTGTTATTACCATGTAGTCATATTAACAAATAAAACGATTGACGAATCTTGATTGTGGATGGGCCTGAGATTAGACTCATGATGTTCTGCTCAGTAAGCAAAAACGGTTGCTCTAAGGCCACCGAGCCCCTCATATCACATAATACCGTTGCTCTAATTTTTGTATCCATTCAAACCCGGAACCAACGACAACAACGAGTTTCGCAAAATACACGATACACAAGCGATTTTACTATAAATCTCTTTGATATGTAAGGACCTGGGACCGCGTTTTTCTGCTCAGTAAGCAGGCCACTGTAACCGACGATCTTTCAAATCCGAAAACTAAAAACTACGAAAAAGTACTTAGGCCTTCATTAAGTTCCACTTTCACGCGACGTACAATGTTTCAATTTGCTCTTTACGTATTGTTCAGGCTAGGCCCTTTTCAAAATTTACGCGAGAAATACGCACAATCGTCACCTACCTCGCAAAACTGGTTCCAAACGACAACAAAGGCATAAGCAACGATGGATTGTTGAACTTTGCTGGCTCCGGTGGTGTAGTGCACAGCAAAAAAAATGTAATATCGATCAACGTAATTCAAGCTGATGTATGGAATAATGATGTAATTGTAATTTTGTAATTTATCAGCACACACCCTGGTCGACCACTGTAAACCAATCTGCCGTTCAGTGTTTTCGGTTTTTGTTTCTGGATCTTTAGTTGCCTCTGTGATATACTTACTTGCGGCATACTAATTTGGGAGTGTATATGAGCGTGTACCATGTACGGTAGCTCATCTCTCATCGTGATGGTGGGACATAGTAGACAAATTAGAGAGAAAACAAGGAGGTATTAGTATTAGTTATATGTAAACAAACAAAACAAAAGTTAGATAATGCGGCACTGTAACTACTACTATTTTAGAGGTATGATTCGTCATGTTTAACTCAATGTTTCAATTGAGGCAAACTATCTATCTTACAATTACAAAAGCAAACCTAAACTTACAATTATATGCAAATGCAAAATGAAACTTGACAAATCATCGTCAATTCCCTTATTCCAGGGCAGGGCCTGACGATTTGAATCTAATTTTGATCAGTGAACGGGCACCATATGGTACATTTTCTCACCCTGAACCTATCATTTCCAGCCTATCTGAACTATTTAATAAATGGAAGCCATAACATGGGTTACGCTCCCCCTAAGCGGGCCCTCCGCATCCTGTCTCTGTCTTATCTCAAATACAAAATGCCAATGGTATGAATGTATCTATATATAACTTGGAAATGACGTACAATCAAATAAACCCGTAACCCACTCACTTGGTCAGGCTTCAGAATCGTCCAGTGGGCAGTGCACTCTACACTCCAAGTTCCCTTTTTTTTTCAAATTTACCGCAAATTTGATATTTTACCCATTGAGTGTTGATTAGTCACAATGAAACATTGTGACAGAAGTTGAGGTTACTAGTGTATTAAATAATCTAGGTCCTATTTAGGATTATATCTGAAAAATCCAAATCTGGCCAACGCCCACCCTAAACCTAAACCTGTTCTAATCCACCTGAAATGACTAACGAATGGAAGACTTTGACTACCCAGCCATGCAATAGTCTCATTCCGTGCCTTATGGCAACTTGATGATTCTATTGCGCTCATCTTCTGGCACCACCCAGGGGAGACTTGGTCCTGTACCCAATGCTTAACTTATCTCCATTCCACTCAACTACTCGCAATTTCGTGTGATATAGTGGGCGGAATATTATTATATGAGACAATTCAATGCAGACGTCTTTCCAAATTTGGCAGATCGACAGGTAATCGGTGAGTTAACACGATAGTTGCTATTCAACAACTCGACAACGTCCCATCGTCAACGCCTGCTATGAGAATTTCCCATAGCAGACGCCAACGAAATGACGTCATCGAGCTATCGATCAACTACCCTGGTTATCGCCTGGTACCTTATAGCACGATGCTAGGAGGCGAACCGGAAGAATCGATGAGCTACCTCCCCCCCATATTTCCGAATATATACCACCGTATTCGCAGAATTCATTTTTATGCACACATAAAAATTCTGCTCACACCAACGTGATGCAATGCCCGAAATTACACACGACACAGATTTAGAGAAGCTGAAAACAACATATTTTTGCATTAATTTTATCCATGAAAGTGATATCAATTTGGCAGATTCCGTACAAATTACAGAGAACAAAAAAAAAATCATAACACTGCATCTAAACACACCACATTGAATACCCTTGAGGGTGTGGTTCTGCCTCACCCCACCACCAGTCAGTCAGCGGCAGGAAAGAAAAAGGCGTTGCCATATAAACCGCGAAGGGGGAAAACGAACTACGAGGACCGACCGATGATATGAATTATAACTCAGCCATTGAGCCATCACTTTTTCACAGCAGTCTGTTTCCCCTGCTGCTTCTCGCTCGCACACATCACCATTGTGTGTGCGCCGTGAATCGATAATGGCGAATCCTCATCCGACCTTCATTCAACGGGTTTTCCTCTCCTTTCGTCAATGCCATTCAGGACAAGGCCGACGCAGTATCTTCCCGCATGGATGCTTCTGCGGTGCGGTTTCGTCCAGTACAGACGTATGTTCGAGCATTGTGCGACGGGAAACCGTACTGATATCGCCAGTTAAGCATTTTAACGGGTTTCAATTCAAGTCGTCGGGTTACAATTTATGAGTGCGATTTTCTGAAAAGGCAGATTATAATTCATTCCATTTTTTTTGCTTTCAGCTCAACCGAGGAGGAAAAGTTGAGTGACCACGATTCGTCGGGCATTTCCAGCGGATCATCACTGGATTCTGAGGAGTCGTTTTCTGAGGTAAAGTGTTGAAGCTCTGGGGCATATGAATGGGTGGATGGAAGGCTATATTTACGTTTCCCTCCACAGACAACGCCCTCGGAGGGTTCATCCCACGGCAGTGACGCGGAAAACGATGCACCCGAGTACCGACCGCACAAGTGTGCCGAGTGTGGTAAGAGCTACACCCGGAAGCTGTATTTAATGAGGCACTACGTGCAGCATACCCGAGAGCGACCCTATCAGTGTGAAGTTTGCAGCAAAAGCTTCGCCTACGCCAGTTCGCTGTCCTCGCACAGGAAACTGCACCTGGCCAGCGGGGAACATCGGTGTGAAATCTGCAGTAAGACATTCACGACGGCCGATCTCCTGGCGGCGCACAAAACGGCGGTCCACTACGGGGAACGGCCCTACAAGTGTAAGCAGTGCAAGAAAACCTTCATCCTGTTGCATGCCTACAAAAGCCACAAGAAATGGCACTTGCAGTTTAATCCGTACAAGTGTGCGGTTTGTGATAGGGAATTCATGAAGAAGATCAGTTTGAAGTGTCACCTGAGAGTTCACACCGGGGAAAAGCCTTTCTCCTGTGATATATGCCACAAAAGTTTCACGCTATCTTCGACTCTGTCGTCGCATAAGAAGCTTCATGGTGAAAAACCTGCACTGCAGTGTGAAACATGTGGACGGATTTTCACCCAAGCCAGCGCCCTTTCGACCCACAAACATCTACACACGGAAACTCGGCCCCATAGTTGTGACCTCTGCGGCAAAAGGTTCATAAGACTGCATGCCCTCAAGATCCACATCCGCACGCACTCCAACGAACGACCGCATCAATGTGACCTCTGTCCGAAGACTTTCCTGGAGAAGCACGTTCTGATAAGGTGAGAACATTTATGCTTAGATTAAAGAAAACACCACTCACTGAATTAATCTTCCCACAGACATCTCAAGACGCACACCAACGAGCGCCCGTACAGCTGCGACACCTGTGGCAAGGCATTCAAGGAAAAGTACGACCTCTTCCGGCACGTTCTGATTCACTCCGGACTGAGGCCCCACAAGTGCGACGTGTGTGCGAAAACTTTTGTGCAATCCAATGCGTTGACCAAGCACCGGCGGAGGCATGAGCGGCAAGGGCAGGAAGATGCCAACAACAACGAAAATAACCCAAGGAGTTCTACTGGTGGTGATGCAATCGGCACCGAGAAGACGACGACGACGACGATGCTGCAAGTTGAGAAAGTCTAGCCAAGATGAAGAAGGTGTTATGATTACACTCGATTATCATACATTTACATGTATAGTGAAATTTGATATCAAAGAAAATAGTTGTAAGGTTTTGCGAAAATAAATGACGAAGATGGATCTGTGATGGACCAGAACCATGCTGGAGCATATACGTAGAGATACCAGGGAATGAGAACACTGTTATCACTGTGAAAGGCTGCACTTGGAATAGAGGAGGTCGATGGAGGTGCTAGATATATTTGTTTTTAATTACATTATGGGTGTGGCCCTGAAACGGAATATGGGCTGTTAAAAGCTTTAATATTTATAGATTTCCCTTTCATGGTGATGGAAACTCAGGATGATTGCTTCAATTTTGAACTCGGAAACCAAAGGCAAAACATCCATATTTTGATACAAAATTAGCTGCTCTCAAATTTTCGTTGATTGCTTTGAAATGTTCCTTAAGCTCACGATCAACCTAGATCAATAACTTATAAATCACCGTAGCGTCTTAAAATCTCAAAAAATGGGGGCGACCCCGGCGTAGTGGTTAACATCCATACCTCTCACGCCAAAGTCACGAGCTCAAATCTCACCCCCAGACAAGTCACGAATAACCCAAGAGTATTAAAGTGACTATGAAAAAAAAAAATCATTTTGATAAAGGCAATGTTACGCCTTTGAGAGCTCAAACTTATTTTGAATAAGAAACTGTTACGCCTTTAGTAGCTCTAAATCATTTTTATTAAGACACTGTTGCGCCTTTTGGAGCTCATAGCCATTTTGATCAAGAAACTGTTGTGCCTTTAGAAGCTGGAAAGCATTTTGATTAAGAAATTGTTGCGCCCTTAGGAGCTTAAAATCATTTTGATTATGAAACTGTGGTGTCTTTAGAAGCTCAAAATCATGTTGATTAACACTCCGAACACGATGGAAAATATGTAACGGAAAACTTGCAATGTTTGAAAAATCATAGCTCAGCCATTGACGAATTTCAAATCTATTGGTGCTACGTGAAACTTCATACTTTAAATATTTATTCGGAATCAATAGATTCAAAATCTATAAATAAATGGTTGAGCAATGATTTTCAAACATTGCCAATTTACCGTTACAAATTTTAAAGGAGGCATAGTATTCGGAGTGTTGAGAACTGTTGCGCCTTTAGAAACTCAAAACCATTTTGATTGAGAAACTGTTGTGTCTTTATAACCTTAAAATCTTTTTGGATAAGAAAAGGTTTCGTTTTTTAATAGGTCACAATAATTTCGAATAAAATGGTGTTGTGCCTTTAAAGGCTCAAAATAATTTTGATTAAAAACTCTAGCGCCTTTAGAATCTCAAAATCATTTTGATTAAGAATCACTTGTGTCTTTAGAAGCTCAAAACCATTTTGATTGAAAAACTGTTGCTCCGTTAAATGCGCAAAATCATTTTGATTAAGTGAATGTAGTGCCTTTAGAAACTCATAATTATTTTGATTAAGAAAATGTTACGCCTTTAGAAGCCTAAAATCATTCTGATTAAGAAACTTTTGCGCCTTTTGAAACACAAATCATTTTGATTAAGAAGCTGTTTCGCCTTTAGGAGCTCAAAATCATTTTGATTAAAAAGCTGTTGCGCCTTTAGGAGCTCAAAATCCTTTAGATCAATAAACAGTTGCTCCCTTAAATGCGCAAAATCATTTTGATTAAGTAATTGTAGTGCCTTTAGAAACTCATAATCATTTTGATTATATAACTGATGAGCCTTTAGGAACTCAACATAATTTTGATTATTAAACTTTTGCGCGAATAGAAGTTCAAAATAATTTTTATTTGTGAAACTGTAGCGACTTAAGAAGCTCTACATGATTTTGATAAAAAAAAACAAGTGCCGTGCCTATAGACGCTGAAAATAATTTGGATTAAACAACTGTTGCACCTTTAAGAGCTCAAAATCATTTAGATTAAGAAACTGTCGCTCGTTTAAATGCGCAAAATCATTTTGATTAAGTAAATGTAGTGCCTTTAGAAATTCATAATCATTTTGATCATAAAACTGTTGTGCCTTTAGATGCTCAAAATATTTTGATCTTGAAACTGCAGTGCCTTTACAAGCTCAAATTTATTTTGATTAAGAACCACCCTTCGACTGTGCCAAAAAAAATCCTTTGTCTGTACCTTCGGATCAATTTGACCCGAAATTCAACTTGTCATATCTCAGGGAACTTTCAATGGGTTTTTGAAATTTCTAGTATATTGTAAAGTAAATTTAATGGATTTTCAGTTGACATTATCAAATTTTGTTTAAAATAGCGGATCCCCAAGTAACAATACAAGCTGAACATTAAGAACAGAAGCTGATTATTGGTTGATTTAAGGTGTTCAAAGCTGATTAACATTATTAGTAGTGCATGAAGCGAATTGTATCCCCATAATCCAACCTCAATAAGTTAGCTGACCTAAAGATTGAACAAGCCTTATTTAAGCTTAACACAACTATACAAAACAGCAATGCGTTACACATATTTTGATAGCTTGATTTGTTAAATATAGTCAGTGTCTGTGTCACTCGTTTCATGTCCGGCATTTTAGTTCTACTAAATTCACTACCTACCTTTCTAATTACAGGCAGTGGCAGCAGGAGAGGCAAGGAAAAGGAGATTGTTAGGAATAGCTCCAGGTAGACGTCTGCGACGACGTCGGAAGTATTAACATTTGTAGTTCTGTGTTTTGACTGTTCACCATTTTATATTGCACTGAATTTTCAGACCGCATTCCAAAAATATTACTCAATTATGGCACTAAAATAGCATCCAAATGACCATCAAAATAAATCACGTGCTTGTGTCCACATTGTGTTAAGTGCACTTGAAAATGACATTCCTCTCACCAGTTGTTGCTTACAATTCTGCATTGCTGTTATTCAACTTAAATTTGGCGTGCTTCAAGTATGATCTTTAAACCTTTTACCACACATATGCCTAAATGGTCCAGTGGGTATGGTTGACGCCTATGAATCAGCGACTACCGGTTCGAATCCCGAAATCCAAAGGTACTTTTTAGACTTATATTAACAATATAAATATGTTAATCCAATTAGTCGGAAACAAGTTAAAGCAGTTCCATATAAATGTATAAGATATGAAGGAAGCGGTCTACCATTATTATTTTTGAAATAAAACTAGAAGGCTGAACAAGGGTTGGAAAAGATTGTTATTTAATGCCTTAAAAAGGTTATAATGTTAAGCTTTTGGCTGATTAAAATCACCAGATTTAGATGTTTAAAAGCTGGACAAAGGTTAACGTGGTCTATGTACAGCAATTATTCAATCTAAGGCTGAATTGGAATCGATTAATCAGCACTTGTTACGCATCAAATTGTTACCTGGGTATCTCATAGGGAGGGGCCATAGTAAAAATATTCCCATGAAGATGCATATTTTGGATTATGAACTAAACTCTTTACCATAAAATAGATCTTGTCCATCTGAACAGTCAAGATGATAAGTAAGGACAAACAATTCATAATTAACGTCACAGTAGCACCGCCTGGTGAGTGAAATCTGAACTAAACTCTTTACCATAACATAGGTCTTCCCCAGGTGACAATTTATGCTTAACAAGTGTTGTTTAATCGATTTTAATTCAGCCTTAGATTGAATAATTGCTGTAAATAGACCACGTTAACCTTTGTTCAGCTTTTAAACATCTAAATCTGGTGATTTTAATCAGCCAAAAGCTGAACAGTAATGTACATTATAAGCTTTTTAAGGCATTACATAACAGTCTTTTCCAACCCTTGTTCAGCCTTCTAGTTTTGTTTCAAAAATAATAATGGAAGACCGCTTCATATCTTATGCATTTATATAGAACTGCTTTAAATTGTTGCTGACTAATTGAATTTACATATTTATGTTGTAAATATAAGTTTAAAACTTACCTTTGGATTTTGGGATTCGAACCGGCAGTCGCTGAATCACAGGCGTCAACCATACCTACTGGACCATTTAAGCATATGTGTAGCAAAAGGTATGACCATTAACTTGAAGCACGTCAAATTTAAGTTGAATAACAGCAACCGGAAGAGTATTATACAGCAATGCAGAATTGTAAACAACAACTAATATTTTTGAAATGCGGTCTGAAACTTCAGGGCAATATAACAAACAAAACACAGGAATACAAATGTATACTTCCGACGTTGTCGCAGCCCACACCTACCAGCTATTCCTAAAAATCTCCTTTTCCTTGTCTCTACTGCTGCCACTGCTTGTAATAAGAAAGGTAGGCAGTGAAGTTTGAAGAACTAAAATGTCAGACATGCAACGAGGGACACAGACACTGACGACATTTAACAAATCAAGCTATCAAAATATGTGTAACGCATTGCTGATTTGTGGAGTTGTGTTAAGCTTAAATAAGGCTTGTTCAATCTTTAGATCAGCTAACTTATTGAGGTTGGATTATGGGGCTACAATTCGCTTCATGCACTACTAATCAACTATATATTCAGTCTGATGTTAATCAGCTTTGTACACCTTAAATCAACCAATAATCAGCTTCTGTTCTTAATGTTCAGCTTGAATTGTTACTTGGGATTGTTCATCTTTCATCATCAACTTTTCTGAACAAGGAAACCATCTATATGAGCAGGATCTGTAGAAAGCGTTATATAATATGTAGGGGAAATGACGGCTTCGGCATGACATACTATTTTCGGCAACCCAAATTGAAACACTATTTTCACTGGATTTTCTTACGAAAACATTTCGCTGAATGCATGCAAACGATTCTTTATGCTTTCAGCTTCAATTTGACTATATTTTTACCACTGAGAAAAAGGAATCTAGCAAGGTTTTCTTGAAATGCAACACAAGCACTACAAATTGTAGCTGATTTCGAGTTGCCGATAATAGAACAGCAGATTTACATGCAGTTCAAATGGAACGGTTGCCGAAGAAAAACTGGTTGCCGACAATACTCGCTCTCACTAGAGAAGATTGGAGCTTTGTAAAAGCGTTTCAAAACAGTGTTTGACAATTCTTTCGACTGAAATTGTTAGAGCAGCTGGCAGCAAAAGATTGTAAACAAACCAATACTGCATATGTGTGCATTTCATAGAGAAAAAGGCTATAGAAAGAAGGTCGCTGCTTAGGTTGCCGAGAATA